TTATCATAATTTTTAGCATGTCGAACTGTGATAATTTATAAAAGTATATGGCAGAATGTTTGGCATATAGTAGGCACTCAATAAATGGTAGAAAGTATTATCAGCGTTGGTATGTTTAATTAGTCATGATGCATAGTGTGGATATGAAAGCAAAACTATTAAATAATATTTTTTATAATTGGTTGTGCTCAGAGGATGATCGAGAATCAATTCATTATTTTAAAACTTGTTTACTAAAATAACAGCATTTATTATGCCATTCCTGTATGAACTTGTTTTAGCCCATTTTCACACTACTATGAAGAGCTACCTGAGACTGGGTAATTTATAAAGAAAAGAGGTTTAATTGACTCATAGTTCCACTTGTCTGGGGAGGCCTCAGGAAACTTACATTCAGGGAGGAAGGTGAAGGGGAAGCAAGGCACACATCTTACATGGCTGCTGGAGAGACAGTGAGTGAAGGGGAACTGCCAAACACATTTAAACCATGAGATACCGGAAGAACTCACTATCATGGGGACAGCATGGGGAAACTGCACCCATGATCCAGTCAGCTCCCACCAGGTCCTTTCTTTGGCATGTAGGGATTACAATTTGAGGTGAGGTTTGGGTGGGGACAAACAGCCAAACCATATCAGAACTCCACCACTGGGTAACCAAATAGTAAGTGAAGGTAGTGCCTCTTTTTCATGAATTATCCCAACTAATATTTTTTTTTAAATGATGGAATTAGAATGTCACCATTTGCAGTCTGCAAGAATTAATTGAGCCACGTTAACATAACTAAAACAAAAATGGTTAAACATTATTAATGTGCCCTCTAATGAAAGAATAAACCACCATCTCTAGTCTTACCAAGGTATCTAACTTGATAAGCCTTTGGATTCAGCTGCAAGTTTGCAGAATATGGAAACTGCATATATCCAAAGGATGGAAGAACAGGCTGAACTGCTGCCTGACTGTGCACTTCCTAAAATCCAGACTGGCTAAAACTTTACAGGTCAAATGGCCTGAGCTTGTCAACAGACGAAATGAAAAGAAAGGAGAGGGAGAAGATGAATGCCTGTAGATTAAAAGAAGTTTTAAATGACACATCAAGTCTTGAAAATTGGAAAGACAAAATTATAGTGTCTGGATATATACACCTGAGAAGTAAAACCACAAGAAAATCTTTGAAAGTGATTATTGTAAAGGTCAGGATACTGGGTGTTATGGAGGGATGGCAGGGGAGATAATTATAGGCACAGAGAAGGCTCTCTGGGGCAGGTGGCAGAGTTATAGAAGAAATTCACTTTAAAGATAAAGATAAGTTGGATGGAAAAAATATATAGAGAGAAGCAATATACATTAGAAAACTGACATGGCCACATTTAGTGTCAGAGATAAAGAAAAAGAAAAACTATCAGATTAAGAGACACATTTTATAATGATAATATGAATATGGTCAAAACACCAGAAAGATATAATCATAAATCAGTATGATCCTAATAAAATATTTAAAATATATGTAGTATTAAAATAGAATTTAAGGAAGAAATAGGCAAATCTGCGATCAGAATTGAAGATTTTAACATTTCTCTTAGCAATTGATAGAACAGATCAAGAGCTCTCGAATTACGTGATATGAATACCACTATTAACCACTTGATATTTATACAATATTATACTTGGCGACTGCAGAATATGCATTCTTTTCAGGAACACATGGCATGTCCTCAAAGATAGACCATGTTGGGCTAAATGCAAGTCTAAATAAATTTAAGATAATTGGAATAATATGAAGTATATTCTATAACCACAATGAAATTAATTAAAAATCAAGAATTAGAAACTAGAAAAAAAGATATTTGGAAATTAAGCCACCTACTTACAAATAACTTGTAGCTCAAAGAAGTCACAAGGGAAATTAGGAAGTATTTCAAATTGGATGCAAATAAAAATACATCAGAATTTGTGGTTATAGTTGAAGCAGTCCTAAGAGGGATATGTTTAGCTGTAATATTTATATTAGAAAGTAAGAAAGATCTAAAATTATTGACTCAAGTTTCCACTCAAAGGGAGTAGAAAAAGAAGAGCAAATTACACCCAAAACCAATGCAACAAGGGAAATAATAAACATTAGAGCAGAAATCAGTGAAACAGAAAAAACTAAAGAGAAGTAACAAATCCAATGTGATTTTTGGAAATGATTATTAAGAGTGATAAAAATTTTTTATCACTATTCAGTCTTCCCTCTCCCCTTCTTGTCCATACTACTTTAAAGAATAGAATACTTCATACACATAGTGTTCACTGACTTTTCCTTTACTCCTAAGGCATGTATTCCCTGAACACTAACCTTTTGAGTAACTATTTGATCATTCTGTCTATTGGACATGTTTTCAATACATCTGTGTTCTAATAGGTGTAATGTATTTCTGACAGTCTTACAACTTCCAAATTCTAATTTGTTTCTTTATTCCCTTATATTGTCTACCCTCAAAACCATTTTTTTCTTTAGAACCTTCTATTTAAAATGTAAAATTTAATCCCCACTACTTTTCTGAAAATACTTTGCCCCCTTTTTTTTTTCGCTGTAGGATAGAGATAGAGCTCATTAACAGCACATCTCTGCCTGCTGGCTTGCCTGCCTGCTACTTATACAGACTTACCTCTCACCTCTCTCTACATTGCTGAAGAGTGTCATCCTTGTATCACCCCATTGCTCTCCATATTGTACTAACGTCAGAACATTTAGGCACTATTTTAAGTTATTTAATAGTGTATTTTGTCCTGCACTACACTATGAGTCCTTGAGGGCAGGGACCATGCCTTTATTCATATTTTTATTGTTAGCATTTGGCACAATTACTGATAAGCAGCTGGCACTAAAATATTTTTAGGGAATAAATAAGTGAATAGAAGATCAATATCAACCTGAAAGATTTTAATTTAAAAGAAAACTTGTTGACTTGGAGAATTAATTTTATACTTTAATCTTAAAAATATATCAAACTTTGACTTTTCATTAGTTTCCTTATCATTATTGCATAAAGTCTCATTCTTCTATTCAAAACATTGATGACATAGATTTATGTTTTGTGCTACTATAAATTTTAAGATATTTAATGTCTGATATTAGCGACATCTTACAATGTGTGTTTGTGGGAGCCAACAATTACATTGTATATATTTTTATTCCAGAAATGCTTAATACATCACAATTTTGCAGTAAGCTAACATCTTTTAAAATGCCCAATGTGTGAGAAATGAATGTATTTCTTCTAGAAATAAGCTGCTGAAATCTTCTCAACCTTCTTTAAAATTCTGTTCAGGTTGTTTTAGTTTGAATACAGTTGTTGAATTATTTTTACCTAAAGTTTTACTTGATTTGCTTAGAGTAGCATGTCACACCTTACCTGTATTTGATTGTATGTGGTCCACATCATTTTATTTCTTATGTAAAGAGAGGTTCCATAATCGTGAACTGAATTCTTCATGCATAAATAATATAAAAATGCTCAATATACTATTGCTATATGTGATTTATAAAGATTATATTTCTTTCTCTACCCAAATAGACATTTTTAAAGGCTTTTTTGTAATCTTTTATGATTATGGTAGAAAAGATTCTGTAAACATAAAATAAAGGATTTATTCTTGATAGAATCCAAATATTGCTGGATTAATATTAAGGACATTAAAACATGTTTGCAGATTTAAATTACAAAGCATTATTACCTTGTATTTTTTGGTTCATCTATATTCTCAGGATAAACTAGATTGGATTAAAAATAAATCTGTAATGAAATCTGTTTTATTAATCATCTTTCTAGTTAGTACATGGTGATTAGAGAAGTTCATACAATAGTTTCCTAGGTGAACCCTCCAATTTTTCTGCAGTTCATTTTATGTATAATTAATAGACATATTTCTCAAACATTCTTTCCTTGGCAATTTTTTTCTTCCTTTTCTATAGTGCATACTATAGTGAAAATGTAAAGCAGAAAACTTTACAGTTATAAGTGAGTACAATTAATATAATGCAAGCAAAAGATATAAATATTGGCAGAATATAGGGCTTCTGGATGTGGATGGAGTTAATTGGAAAGTCTTCAGAAAAGACGTGACATATTTTGAAAGCATATCAAGTGGGCTAATGAGTAAGTGGAGGGCAGGAGAAGTGTGTTACTGGATAAAAAAGTACATATAGGTGGCAGTCAGTTGAAGGAGACCACAGGCATATTTGATTGACTGAAGTGGCGACTTCATGCTGAGGAATACTAGGAAATGAGGCTTTTGAGACTATGAAGAGTAGAAGCGTGTCAATTTGAGAAGTGCCTTGAAAGCCATGCTAAGGAGTTTAGATTTAATGCTTAGTGATGGGCAACCACAGCATGCTTTTGAGCTGGGGAGCCCAAGAATGAATAGTTGTCTTTAATAAGATGCAATGAGAGTGAAGAGCTTAAATATTTCATGGAGAGATTGGTAAAATTGCACCAGCAAGTGAGTTAGCTTTGATAGGAAAAGCCATGGCTTTTAAAAATTAGCTATCATATTTAGGTTAGTTGGATTTTCAGTGAATGTAGTTAAAAGATAGCCTCATGGTCTGAGGGCAAAAATATATAGAATTTATTATCTTGCCCCAGAGTCCCTAAGTATTATTCTCTTGCATTTTTTTACGTATTGGATATGACAGTGCAAAGAATGAGAAAGATGGATTATTGAATTTTTGTCAGAACCAAACTTTTAAGAGATACATGATATTTTAAAGCATATTCCAAATTTCATGTATGTATGTAATGGTTGTTACGTCATGCGTTGTCAGCTTATAGATTATTGCTGTGCATGTTAACTGTTTTGTACTTATCATATATGTAACATATTTCAAACTTATGGGAATTAGGTATATTTAAAAATTAGCCCTCAAAGTCATACAGATACGAAACTTCATTAATAACTCTCCATGGATGTGGTTGACAAAAAAGAATCATTTAAGTGATTGTTTTCTTTCCCTCTAGTCTTTTTTAGCACTGGTGAACTTGTTATCCTATCCTGCTATTTATGAGCTGATAAGGAATCAAGATCTTCCTAATAAAACAGAATATTCTCTTCGTGAAGTCCCAACATGTGTTATTGTAAGTCATTTTCTTTAAATTTTTCTCTGTTATAAATGCTACTGTTTGAGATTGGCAGTAAAAATGCAATTTGACCAAAAAGAGAAAAAAGCAGCATTATGTAATGGCATTTAAGGGCTGATTTGATTAATCATGCATGAATTATATCAACTTTTGAATTTTCTGTGCATGGAATCTTTGATCCAGGTCACCTAACATTCCCAACACCTATCAGAATTCGAGGCTAACTCCAACCAGGAAGGAGACTTGGCATAGATAGAAGTATACTTTTGAGTGATTTTTAGATGACTCATTACATTATTAGTCAAACCAGTGATGCTCCTTCATTGGCTAGGATTAGTAGGAATAAGTTGTCTCCACGGAGTCCACTACATTTCCTGCTTATGTTTTAATGAACTACATATTATTGCCCCATGAGGGCAGTATATACAAATTTATTTAATCTGAGACCTAGGTTGTACTAATATTCACAGTTAAGTAACTTGTTTTAATCATTAAGGGATATTTAGGTCCTTATCTTTGGGTACATTTATGGATTAACCCAGAAATATATGTGTATATGCATATAAGGGTTAGTAAAGACTTACTTGATATTGAAATTTATTATTGGTCACTCTTTTTCATTTTCTGGTCACTTCATCCTATGTGATATTGTTTTTATAAACATAGTTTTGCCCTTTCGAATACGTTTAAACCTGTTAACCCTAAACACTTAGAGTTTTAAAAATTTCATCTACTTTGGGAAACTTTTAATAGCTTATATGATGTGAAATACAAAGATGGGTACTTCTGTCATTTAACATTAACTTAGATTCTCTTATCTTCTTTTTCTTGAAGTTTTTCAATTGTATTTTGTGCTTACTTGTATGTTGGCACTCCGACATACAAGTCTACCTGTTGAGTACAGGTAGACCTCAGAATTATTGCAGGTTCATTTCTATACCACAGCAATAACATGAATATTGCAATAAAGGAAGTCACACAAATTTTTTGTTTTCCCATGTAAAAGTTATGTCTACACTATACTTTAGTCTAAAGTGTGCAGTAGAAATATGTCTAAAAAATGTTTATTGCTTAATCAAAAGTACTTTATCGCTAAAAATGCTAATGAACATCTGAGCCTTCAGTGAGTTGTAATCTGTTTTGCTGGTGGAGAATCTTACCTCACTGTCGATGGCAGCTGACTGATCAGTGTGTTGGTTGTTATGGGCTGGGGTGCCTCTGGCAATTTCTGAAAATAAGAGAACAGTGAAGTTCACTGCATCAATTGACTCCTTTCATGAAAAATTTCTCTGAAGTACTTGATGCTTTTTGATAGCATTTTACCCACCGTAGAACTTCTTTTAGAATTGAAGCCAATCCTCTCATCCCACTCACTGCTTTATCAACTAAGTTTATGCAATATTTTAAGTCCTTTGTTGTTATTTCAACAATGTTCACAGCATGTTCTACAGGAGTGGATTCCATCTTTGCTCATCCATAAGAAACAACTCAACTCATCTGTTTGATTTTGATCTTAAGATTGCAGTGATTCAGTCACATTTTCAGGCTCCACTTTTAATTCTAGTTTTCCTGCTATTTCCACCACGTCTGCAGTTACTTGTTCTACTGAAGTACTGAAATTCTTTAAGTCATCCATTAGGGTTAGAATCAGCTTCTTCCAAACTTCTTTTAATGTTGATATTTTGACCTCTTTTCATGAATCACAGATGTGGCATCTTAATGGTGAATCCTTTCCAGAAGGTTTTCAATTTACTTTGCCCAGATCTGTCAGAGGAATCACTATTTATGGCAACTATAGCCTTACAAAATTTATTTCTTAAATATTTGAAAGTCAAAATTACTCCTTGATTTATGGGCTACAGAATGGGTGTTATCTTAGCAGGCACAAAAACAATACTAATCTCCTTAAACATCTCCATCAGAGCTCTTGGGTGACCTGTTGCATTGTCAATGAGCAGTAGTATTTTGAAAGGAATCTTTTTACTGAGCAGTAATTTTCAATGGTAGGCTTAAAATATGCGGTAAACCCATGCAGTCACATATGTACTGTCATTTGCTTTATTTTTCCATTTATATAGCATAGGCAGAGTAGATTTTCCAGTGCTCCAGGATTTTTGGAATGGTAAATGAGCATTGGCTTCTGCTTAAAGTCACCATCTGCATTAGCTCTTAAGAAGAGAGTTAGCCTATCTTTTGATGCTTTGGATCCATGTATTGACTTCTCCTTTCGAGCTATGAAAGTCCTAGATGATATCTTCTTCCAATATAAGGCTGTTTTGTTTGCATTGAAAATTTCTTGGCTGGGTGTCGTGGTTCATGCCTGTAATCCCAGCACTTTGGGAGGCCGAGGTGGGGAGATCTCCTGAGGTCAGGAGTTCGAGAGCAGCCTGGCCAACATCTTGAAACTCCATGTCTACTAAAAATACAAAAATTAACTGGACGTGGTGGCACGTGTCTGTAATCTCAGCTACATGGGAGGCTGAGGCAGGAGAATCACTTGAACCTGGGAGGTGGAGGTTGCAGTGAGTCTAGATTGAGCCACTGCACTCCAGCCTGGGCAACAGAGTAAGACTCAATCTCAAAAAAAAAAAAAAAAAGAAAAGAAAAAGAGAAAAAGAAAAATCTCTTTAATGTAGCTAACTTCATCAATTATCTTAGCTAGATCTTCTGGATAACTTGCAACTTCTACATCAGCACTTGCTACTTCACCTTGTACTTCCATGTTATTCAGACAGCTTCTTTCCTTGAATCCCATGAACCAACCTGTTAACTTCAAACTTTCCTTCTGTAGCTCCCTCATTTCTCTCAGCCTTATTAAAGTTAAATAGAGTTAGAGCCTTCTGTGGGTTAGGATTTGGCTTACGGGAATGCTGTGATTGGTTTGATTTTCTGTTCAAATCACTCAAACTTTCTTCATATCAGCAATAAGGTTGTTTCATTTTGTTATCATTCATGTGTTTCCTGGGGTAACACTTTTAACATCCTTAAAGAACTTTTTCTTTGCATGCACAACTTGGCTAATTGGCAAAAGAGGCCCAGCTTTTGGCCTGTCTTAGCTTTTGACATGCTGTCCTCACCAAGCTTAGTCACTTTTAGCTTTTGATGTACAGTGAGATACACTCAACTTTTCCTTTTATTTGAACCCTTAGTGGTTTTGTAAGGTTACTATTTGCCATAATCTTGATATTGTTGTGTCTCAGGTAATAAGGAGGCCCCAGGAGAAAGAGAAAGATAGGTGAATGACCAGTTGGTGGAACAATAAGAACAACATTTATCCGTTAAGTTTGTTGTCTTATCTGGGTATGGTTGATGGTGCCCCAAAATAATTACAATAGTAACATCAAAGTTTACTAATCACAGGTCATCATAACAGAATAATTATGAAAAGTTTGTAATATTGTGAGAATTACCAAAATGTGATGCAGAGACACAAAGTGAACACATGCTGTTAGAAAAATGACACCAGTAAACTTGTTTGACGTAACGTTGCCACACATCTTAAATATGCAAAAAAGCATATTATCTGCAAAGTACAATAAGTGACATGCAATAGAATAAGGTATGCCTGTAGTTTCATCGTTAGTCATTTATGTGCCTAGATTTCCCACTACAATGGGAGTACCTTAGAGAAAGTAGGCTGTCTTCAATGTATATAAATCTAGCACATTATATGGATCCAGTGAAAATAATTATTCTAATATGATTGGTTTTTTTAGATTGATTATGGGAAACAAGTACAAATTTAGTTTTATGATATAGTCCAAAATGATGGCTTCAATGTTTGTTCTCTTAAGTTTTCATGTATCTCTGTGGGGTATATTCAACTATATCTTTCCACTTATGGAAAAATTTGTTTTCTGTTTGGTCTTAAGACAGTTAACTGCAGTTATATTACTCTGTTTCTCCCAAAGACATTATGTTTTAACCCTGTAGAAAGATCACTGCTTTCTGTCATGATTTAAACATGTATATGAGTTCCTTTTAAAACAAACAACTCTTTTGGTCTATGCCTTCTTTTATTTACCACACTGTAGTTTTCTTTCTTTCCCTCCACCCTAAGCTTCCTGAAAATTTTGCCTGTGCTTTAAGTCTCTACATTTTTTTCTCTTCTGTCGACCAGGGAAGCCACCATAACCTGGCATCTTTGCCCAACTACCTAACTTAAATTGTTCTGCCAAAACCCAATAAATATATAATTCCCTAATCTAATGGAACCTCCCTGTATTAGTTTGTCATGCGCTAATAAAGACATACTTGAGACTGGGTTATTTATAAAGGAAAGAGGTTTAGTTGACTCACAGTTCAGCATGGCTGGGGAGACCTCAGGAAACTTACAATCATGGTGGAAGGGGAAGCAAACACATCCTTCATCACGTGGTAGCAGGCAAGAGAAGTGCTGAGCAAAGGGGGAAAAGTCCCTTATAAAACCATCATATCTCATGATAACTCACTATCATGAAAGCAGCATGGGGGTAACTGCCCCCATGATTCAGTTACCACCATGTCTCTTCCATGACATACGGTGTATTAGTCAGGGTTCTTTAGAGGAACAGAACTAGTAGGATATGTCTCTCTATATCTATCTATCTGTCTGTCTGTCTGTCTATCTATCTATCTATCTATCTATCTATCTATCTATCTATCTATCTATCTATCTATGTATCTATATCTGTATATCAAAGGGAGAAAAATGTAGGCTGAGAGGCTAGGCCAGTCTAGTCTTTTCACATTTTTCTGCCTGCTTTATATTCTAGGCACACAGGCAGCTGATTAGAGTGTGCCTACCCAGATTAAGGGTGGATCTGCCTTTCCCAGCCCACTGACTCAAATGTTAATCTCCCTTGGCAACACCCTCACAGACAAACCCAGGATCAAAACTTTGCATCCTTCAATCCAATCAAGTTGACACTCAGTATTAACCATCACATGTGGGAATTATGGGAACTATAATTCAAAATGAGATTTGGGTGGGGGACACAACTAAATCGTGTCACATC